ATTAAGAGGCATACTACTTATTATAATTTATTGAATGTGTGTTTATGTTTTATTAACAGTCCTTCAATACTATTTTTTTTTTATTTGACAAATATAACTTGAAATGTCTTTTAAATAGTTGTAACAAAGTGCGATGTTTTAACTTTTTATTTATTTTATTTATTTACTATGGTAAGGTAATTTAAATATTATTTTTAAAATTCAGTAATTGATTTGTTTATAATAACTATAGTAGGTAATATGTGTGTTACAATAAAGATCCATAAAGTTATTGAGTTTCATTCCATTATTAAACTTTCGAATCGAATATTTTTTTGACCGAACTGGATACAAGGAATAACTATATTAGTTTCGTTTTGTGTTGTAAAGAATACTTAATATTTAAGTGTTGAACTATTTTCATTGAAGCTTAATAATTATATTGTGTTTATTAAATTATATGGAAAAAAATTCGTCACGTCTTCATTACCAACTTTAGCTTACATTACTTTCAAAATTATGGAGCGGTATACGTTTATGAAGTGGTAAGCGCTACAGAATTTTCTTCACATTGGTTAAATTAATATGATCAATATTAAAATTTGTATTTATGACTGATTGTTTTTATTTTCCCGACTTGCTTTCCGCCCGCGGCTTCGCCCCCGTAGAGTTCGGTTATATCACGTTTCCAAGAGAACCTTTCAAAAGTCTGGGATAAAAACTATCCTATGTTCTTTCTCAAGGTCAAGTCTATCTCTGTACCAAATTTCATTAAATTCAGTTCAGTGGTTTAAGCGTGAAAGCGTAACAGACAGACAGAGTTACTTTCGCATTTATAATATTAGTAATACTTTCAACTAATGTGTCGTTGAATTGTAGTAATGTACTGGGCTAAAATAACACCATTGGACATGAGTCAACTTTGATGCCCTTTAATATATATTATGGTTTGCAAAAAATAATTAAAAGAAATAAAGAAAAGAAAGCTTATTTATAAGACTATATTAATTAATTAGTTTTACTGCATAACAACGACTTTCATGTGAAGGGGTTTTGAGACGGCCTTGTATGGGGCTTTCCCACTGTGCGGCGACCAAAAGTGGGTCGAAACGGTTCGTGTAAATATAGTGCACGGCATGCGCGCGGCCTGTGGAACTTGGCCGGCGCACTACCGTGCGCTTAGAAAATGCATATAATTTAATAGTGTGTTGATGTAGTTCTGAAAGAATTTTTCTTTTCAGATCTCTTTCTATGATTCCAAAAACGACGTCAAGTTCTAGCAAAACGAAGAAATAAATACTGATGCATACATATTCTCTTTATAATAATGCATTTTTACTATTATCGGCTTAGGCTTAGCAAATGCACACTATTAGCTATTACAAAATGTTAAAGAAAAATCTATACAATACTTGGAATGTGACGATTCAGGATATTTACGTAAACCATAAAAATGAAAAGACAATACTCGTACATATAAGGGATTTTACAATTCTCTTTCCCGGATCTAACATGTAATCTATCCGGTGAAAATTTTTTATGTATTTTCTTATAATTGTACCGTCGTATATTCGACATCGGTCCATATTACTTGACCCGTTAACCTCTATAGATAGCTTAGCTTTATAGTCTTGAAAATAACCGCTTACGTGATGTTAACACTGTAGAAATATCAAATAATATTAAATTTTAAATTAAGTACGAGTATCTGATACTAACAGTTTTGATATTGTTATATTAGAAGCATAATGATCGGTTAATGAAACTAACATTCTCGCTATGAAGAAATATGTTGGCTCGTCTGTTCATGGGTCAATAAAAATTGGTTTCGATATTTGCACAACTTCTGATAAAATTAGATAGATAGGTACAAAATGTATTATTATATATTGTTTTTCACGTTCAGTATCACTGACGGACAGTATAAAATCAATCTAAATTAATACCATTTAAAATATAAATATTTTTAAATGAAACTTCATTAAAAACTAACACATTATAATTTTATATACGTTTTATGTTTAGATAAAATTAAGTTGATTTGATCGTCGAAATACTATGTACGGCAACGCTTGCTCACATCGTTTTTCAGATATATATAAATGTATGTATAAAGAATGGTATCATGAGGAATGTAATAAAAAAAGGTTTGAGACTGAAGCACGTAAGATCTAGAATTGTTAGAATAACAAGCTTGAACATTCGCTGGCGTTAGAGCCAAGAAGAACGCTAGGATAAATTAAATAGTTAAAATTGATTAAGATATATGTGTGCTTGATTATAATATTACATCATTTTAAATGAATCATCGCTGTATTAAGTTTTAAGATCTATTTAGTTGCTATTGTTTCCTTGTATATATTATTAATGCTAAATATTCTATCGATAAACAAAAATATTATTGATTATTGAATAAAAACGCTATGTCTCATATTTAATTGGTTGTTTCATTTACTTAACCCATATTATAATCTGTAAAAAAAATAAAGAAAGATATGTTTATTTAATATTTTTTATTTAGAAATAGCAAAAGAATAAATTATAATTGTCATAAAAATACAGAAATAATTTAAGAATAATACAATTACATATGTATCATAACTAGGGCCCGGATAAGTATGTATTAAAAAATCTAAAATATGTACATAAAATATGGACAAAAAAAATCAAAAATATGGAAAAAATATGCAGTATAAAATTAAATACTTTCATAATTAAACTCGGAACTTTCGCACAGAATTTTGTTAATTTTTTAGCGTCTGAAATCCTTTAATTTTTTCCAAAACATTAGTGGCGGGAACGTAAATTTTATGTATTTTGTGAATATATGGATGATTGTGACATTTTCTTGTAAAATATGGACTTAACTTTGAAATATGCTAAAATATGGAAAATCAAAGTTGGTTGTTCAGTCTAAATATGACAATCCATGTAAAAAAACACATTCTAGACCAAAAATCGCGTAAATTAAAAATATGTATTTAAATATTAATCCGGGCCCTATTGATATCATATACATATTGTTTACAATAACTTCTTAGCATTCTCATTCATTTTATAAGATTAAGCTTAGTTTGTGCAAGCCAATGGAGTTAAATAATAAAATTAATTCAATTTGATATTTCAATAAATAATTATCCAATATTCGGTCTTGATTAATATTTTTGTGACTAAGTTGCGATAGTATTAATTACCACCACGATTTCAGCTACATGGATGTATGTTACATATGTATAAGTGTGATTGACCTCTGGTATACAGTCAGGGTGTGTGATCATGGCCACTATGTCGTCTAGTGGCAGCAGACTGTGACACTTGATCTCCGTGTACACGTTCTTCCCGAGGGTACAGCATGTTAACAGCTTTATGAGGTCTATGTGGTACCTGCAAGAAATATATACATAAATATTATTAATTATTTGTAATATTAAGTGCATATTTATATTAGATTGTCAAAGAAGCTATCGATAAACCTTTCTTGCATATATATCTTACGCTGTTGTACCTTAATAATGGATACAAATTCGACCATTAAAGTAATGAAAATTGGGTTGGTTAATTTTGTTTTCACACTTTTCGTAATTAATGCATAATTATTTTAAATCCTTATTAAATGCCAGAGCAAGAATATAAATTTTGAAATGATAATATAATGGCATATATATTACGTGAGAGCTTCAGGCATCTCTCCCGTCTGTTTGTACTCCCTCATCATTTTGATGAAGTAGTTGAAGAGTACTTTATCATTGTAGAACACCAGCACGTCCTCGCCGGCATTCAGCATCTATAATGAAACATGAAGTACGATTAGTACAAGTATGCGTCGTTTAACTAAATACTGAGCGTTTCCGAGTTTCCATTCATGAACTCAAATGATAGAATAGATATTTATTAACGAAGATAGGTTTATTATTGAACAACAGAGAAAAAATCGTGTTTACATAATACATTGACGACATAAGCATGTGATATAACATAACTATATTACTGAAAATAGAATTTTATGTTAGGTAATATTTGATAGAGGAGCTTTAAAAATGGAGGTGAGCGTTTAATGCGCGTTAGATAGGGACCTCTTAAACCTACACCTGGGTCACTAGTCCTAAGAGCTATTGAAGCTCCTCTCACTACAACGATAGACTCGCTACCACGGGAAATCATGGAATTTTAAGAGGTTTCGTCTCTTAAAACCATGCATGCTATGATGGGTGAAGGGAGAGGAACTTACTTCTTGCTTGACCAGGTCCTGGCTCCTCCGTATATGGTGAGGTCCCGCTCGTACTATAGTTCTCAGAAACTTGAGGCAGGCGGGCCTCCGTCCGCGGGATTCGATGCAGTGTACGAAGTGCGCGGCGACCTTCTCGTTCCCTTCGTGAGCGCACAGAACTGCGTTCTCTTCGAATATCGAGCACACCGTCTGGGCTTCGCGGATCTGATGTAAAAAGTTGTCTGAATAAAACTATCGTTTTGATGCTTTGATCGTTGGCTATACTATAATTGTAAAACAATAATTTAGCGCTATGGTATATAATATATAATAATAATAATCAGGTTACATTTACCTTGCATATGTTACTTATTTGTTATATTGTGCACTTTTTATTAATTTCCGGGAAAACCCTAAAAACTGTGCTTTTTTATTTCCCATACAAACGGTTTTTTGACATTAGATTTTACAACTAACTATGTAATATGTCAATCATTCTGTCGCACTTCAAAACACGCGAGATTTATGGCTTAAAGATAAACTCCAAAAATATAAATTAAAAAACGTAACAGATATTTCTGGATTATTATAGAGCGATACGAAGTTCGCTGGGTCTTCTAGTAAAATATAAATGTCTTGAGATGTCAAAGTAACTGTGAGTTAACGACGATGAATTCCAGTGTACATCAAAACTAATATTGGTTTATGAGACACTGTGAAAACTTAGACATGTATGTAAAAAATATCAACTAATTGTAATAATAATTATAATAAAATACGATATTAAACAAAATAACAGTACAATTGTTTATATTCAATAGCCTGTTCTTACTCCAGCGTTGAGGAACAGATCCAGGTGTTTGTGTAGTATGGCCTGGTTCTGTGTGTTCCCGTGACAGAAGTGCTGGAGGAACTCGTGCGCCAGGCCCAGCAGCTCGTCCATAGCAGCGTCGTCCTCATCGTGTGGCACCTGGAAATAATTGATTACAGAATATATTTATAACATACAGCAGAAAATTATTCTTTCCTTTTTTTGCTTTGTAGAAAATAAACGTAGATCTTAAATGATTTACACCTATATCATGAGTGTAGGTATAGCATATTTCCGGAAACAGTTTTGTAAAAGCAACAATGGCTTTTAAGTGAGAAGATAAAGAAAAAACTTAAAAAAGCAGTAACATTTACTTTTCCTGCACTTCAGCATTTTAGTATTAAGTACTATTGGTTTTATTATTACAGCAAGGAGCTAAGACTTGTATTGAAGTCCAAATAGAAAGAACTATTAATTATTGACGTGACTAGTAATGAAACCTGCCACCCTTGAGAATACTGTTTTACATTTGTGATATATATAAATACATACATACACATATATAGGGTTTAAATCCTGCTCGTATCGATATATTGTTTTAACTGCTCCTCCACCCACCTGCAGCAGGTCCAGCACTACATTATGTACTCCTATATTCCTCAGCAGCCTCTGTTCGTGTCTCCGCGGTCTCGAGTCGCCCCCCTCCCTCGCCGTGTTGCCCTGGGTACAGTACTCGATCATACGTTCCAGGATCTGTTTTATACAATGTTTAAATTTATTTATTTAAAAGGTACATCAACATCACACATATTCAGCACACATAAACAAAGATAAAATAGAAAAAAAATCTAGGACCTGATATGAGTGACAATTACAGATGTACACAACATTCACGCAAAGCAAAAAAATAAATCTTATTGTCTACCTGTTGAATTTAGGTGATAATTAAATAAAAATATAAAAAAAAAATTAATATCTTATGTATTATCAACAAAAACAACTGGAAGTTCTGTATTACCAATTATGAATTAACGATATTATGTTATAATAAAATTACTGGGATCCATCAAATTTAAACTTATAACTTGTTTGATACGGTATCCAAGTCACTATGTCGACTGTGATACTGAGTATTTATAAAAGTTGACGAATAAATTTTTACATCAACTTATCATTTGTAGTGACTATTAGAGATTGAAGGGCCAATTTAGATGAAACATTGATATAAATGCAACTTAAGTCAACTACTGACTTAAGTGGCCTAGTGGTTAAAAGGCCCGCCTCTCGTGCACGAGGGCGCGGGTTCGATCCTGGCAAGTACCAATGTGATTTTTCCGAGTCATATATACTTTCTAAGAGTATTTAGACATCACTGATTAATGCATTCTCAAAATAGAGTAGATGTCAGGCAGGCGGCCGGTCGTAAGAACAATTAGCCAAAACTATTCACAACATGTAAGGCAGACCCTGGCTAAAAGCTGGGAAATTGCCGGGTAGAAGATTGTTATAAATGCAATATTTATTTTGTACCTCTTTAATCTTATCGTATTCCTGTCGATCTCCTCTCGGTGCTCGCACGTTGTCTAAGGACGCATTTCGCTCCAACACTGCCCCGCCAGGACATACGGCGCCTTTTATATCTAGAAAAGTATTGATTTATATATGTATGTTTAATAATATTTATATATTTTTTTGAACAATATTCTTTCATCATCTACAGGTGATCCTAATAATTATCTACAAGTTATACAGTCCTAAGTATGTAGATACCACTATTTCATGATGTTTGAATGAATGTTTGTTTTTTTTTTATGTTTTAGGTATAGAAAATTTATAAAATATCTTAGAACTGCAGATCATATATGTATATGGAATAATTTTTGCCGGTATATGCAGGACAATTCGAAAAAGTTGAAATTTTGAATTTATTAATTTGATAACTATATTAAATTCTCACCGCTGTGATCATCTATAATCCCGGCGCGTCCCTTATTGAACACCCACAGCTCCGACTTCTCAACGCTCTGTCTCAGTATGTCCAGGTCGGCCTTGATCTGTTTGTAGGACTCCACGTCCGCGTCAGACACTAACAGTGGGACCTGAACGGAATATAATGATAAATATATTATAGTCTACAAAGATTACATTAAAATCTCACACCTATGATGAGAAACTACGTAGGATCTCTTTTTGTTGACTTCATTACTTGCATTTATGAGTTATCTTGTAAAATATTTAATATGCTAAGGTATGTTGATATAATACTAATCCTACTAATATTATAATTGCGACAGTTTGTGAGTGTGTGTGTGTATGTTTGTTACTTCTTCGCGCTAAAACAGCTGAACCGATTTTGATAAAATTTTGTATACAGAAAACTGACGTCCAGGAATAACACATAGGCTACTTTACATCCCGGAAATCTGCGGGTAATACCGCGGAGCGCAGCTAGTTAATTTATAAGGCGGACCTGCTTAAAAGCCTCCAAAACTTCTTGTCTCTGACTGAAATGACGGAATAGCAGCGCTAGGGCTCCTGAAACGAGACTGGCCGAAGCACCCTGGGAACACAGCTGCAGCAGAACTCTCAACACCATACGACCGCCGCAAGCATCCAGGTCTAAACCGTCTCTGAAATTTAAACCTTATTGTATCAATATTAAGATTTAAAATATAATATCATATGAGAAACGCACAAATCACAATAGGATTATAAGCGTTATGCCTAAAAAAGAATCTCTTTTCGGGTAACGGGTTTTTCTAAATCAAAATAAACAAAGGTTAGAATTATACAGAAAACACTTCACAATAACTTAAATCTTTCCGATAATAGGATGTCGATTTTATTGTAATAGCTGTAAAGTATAATATCGCTTGCTGCGATTGGAGAGGTAACACTAGTTAGTCCTAGTAATGAGGATTTTATTTCTCGCAAAAAAATATATAAAAGCTTCTTGGGACAAAACATGCGTAACATACAAACTATTTTATTCTAACATTTCCTTAATTGTACGAAGTCCATTTCAGAATCTTGTAATGGAAATTATTCAATACCTTTTTATTCGAATAATTAAGTTAAGGAAATACAGAAATATCAGATGTCCACATATAAGCAAAGAAATCATAGCATCATACATGCGGTTAATAGCGGTACTTTCATCATGCATCATGCAATAGATTTCAATCTTACTAACAAATCTACATTTTTTGGAAGACAGTTGTCAGGCACAGCCTGAATTGCTCTGAAATAATTGTTAATTTTTTAATACCGATCGCCAGTATGACGAAATAAGAATTAAATGGTTTTTCTTATCTCAAAGTGCTTCCTACGATTTTAATTCCCAATTATAGATAAACCGATGAAAGATAATTTAGAGCTAATGGTAATTTATCTAGTGTGAAAAAGAAAAATAGTAAAAATTTTATGTATTCAAATGAATCTTATAGAATGAAATTTACTGATTAATATGTAATTGTTTAATAGAAGCAAGAAGTGTTCGTAATAAATACTTATAAAAGTAGTACTAATAAGAAATAGATGAAAAAAAATTCTATAGACTTCATGTTACTATCAACCCGCCACCGATTAGTTACAATAGTACAACCGACATCTACATGAAATTATATAACACCATGTGTGAACATTGCCAACGAAACGAGATAAATTTTTTAAACATTTTAATACCATGATACTGAACTGAATAAAATCACATATGTATGTGATTAAAGGAGATCATTCAGGCTTCATACATTTTTGGGCCTTTTTTGAAAGTGCCGGCCAACAAAAAAAAAAGGTACATATTTGTAGAACTAACCATTTGGAACAATAGTTAATATGGCGCAAAAGTTGTAGGATCCAAGATATAGAAGTTATTCAAGTTTCAAGATTCATCATTTTGGTACTTTATTTTTTTCTGAACGTGCCAGGAAACATAAAATAATGATTGATATTGCTATAGCTTCTCAAGCAAATCATTATAGCCATAATCTGTTAGAAACCTGTCGTTTTTATGTAATACTAGCGAACCCGACAGACGTTGTTCCGCCAAGTATCTGAACGCATGCAACACATTTCTTGATGATTTTATTATTTGTCTAACCTAATATGTATATCGGGGTGCCATTTTTATATATAAAAAAAATTGGCCTAGAAGCACTTTTAACTGATTTTGTACCATTTCGGGTCGGATTTGATCATATGACGCGAGAGCAAGTGGCGCAGAGGAACCTCATTGTGCCAGAGCGATAATTTGGTAATCCTAATAGTCCGATTGAAGAAAGAAAGGCCATCTCTATACTTGATGGCACTTACATATATTTACGGAAGAGCACTAATTTCTTTTTTCAAAGAAAATCTTATAGCAACCATAACTTTCGAAATCTTTTAAAGCCTTTTTAAAATATTTGTTGCAATGGAACCATAATAGCGGTAGATGGCCCACCGCTGCAACAACCTCCGATGCCCAGATTTTAAATGATGCACTGAATAATGTATTTCACTGGTTTTACCGGCCTGGTGACATTTTTATATTAGGCCGTGGTTTTAGAGATGCTATAGAAAATCTGGAGTCATGCGGTTATGTACATGCTCTGCGCCACTTGCTCTCGCGTCATATGATCAAATCCGACATGAAATGGTACAAAATCAGTTAAAAGTGCTTCTAGGCCAATTTTTTTTATATATAAAAATGGCACCCCGATATACATATTAGGTTAGACAAATAATAAAATCATCAAGAAATGTGTTGCATGCGTTCAGATACTTGGCGGAACAACGTCTGTCGGGTTCGCTAGTATTACATAAAAACGACAGGTTTCTAACAGATTATGGCTATAATGATTTGCTTGAGAAGCTATAGCAATATCAATCATTATTTTATGTTTCCTGGCACGTTCAGAAAAAAATAAAGTACCAAAATGATGAATCTTGAAACTTGTATAACTTCTATATCTTGGATCCTACAACTTTTGCGCCATATTAACTATTGTTCCAAATGGTTAGTTCTACAAATATGTACCATTTTTTTTTGTTGGCCGGCACTTTTAAAAAAGGCACAAAAAGAATGATCTCCTTTATACATGTTCGAGTTAAAATTTAAGTTGAATGACTTTCTTATACAATGGTCTTTGTATTTGTATCTCGCCTAGTCGGTGTTGGTATGTATGTATGTGTGTGTGTGTCATACCGACAGCTGAAGATAACCTCGGCCTGTAGTCCTATGGCCTCCACGTCCACTCGACCGAGAGCGTCCGGCGAGGAGGTCTCGAAGGCCTTCTTGAAGATCGACAGCAGACAGCTGATGCGGTAGTCCAAACGAACGTCCAGGATAAACTGTGGAGAATATTTCTTGTATGTATTGGGTCACTTTCATAGTAATGTATTATTTTGGTCAGTATAATAGTAGTATCAAGCTGAAGAAACGTTTTTCTTAAACTTGTAAAACAGTAAAGACTTTCCAAGAATTGTTAGTTTTACCGTACAATACAAATTTTTGAAGAACCTTTTAATCATACTGAGATCTAAGACTTTCGTGAATATTCATTTAAATAAACCAATATTTTCGTTTTACTACACTTGATTTTATCATAAATAAATAGTTTCATTCGAACATTTAGATCAGTATCTATATAAATATAATTAAGAATTAGAGTATAACTTTCCACGATACAGGCCTAGCCTAGTGTGGACGTCAACGTTTACTGTAAATTGCATAGTTAAGTTTGTTTTTCAAAGAAAATAAATAAATAGCTAAGAGTGCGCTTGCTTTGAGTATGTGTGTCGGTTGTTGTAACATCTCCAGAACTGTTATCAGTATCGTACCTGCAGTATTTCTATAATCTTCAGCTTGGTCTCCATCACTAGTGGATGTTTCCGGGCCAGGGCCAAGGCTGACGGGCGGCGAGGACGCCGGCCCTCCGCCCACCACCTGCTAATAGAACACACATTTTGGTTATTTCGATTGCAAATACTGAGTCTTGATTTATCCTTTATAGTATAATCAACACTTAAAAACATATTTTTTCTAAATAACAACATACATTCCTATATATAAATCGACTAAATAATTGTAAATCTCAGTAAGAAACAAGTTTTTTAGGGAGTATTGTGGTCAAAAATGCAGATATTTTTTGTTCTTACAGTGGTTTCAAACTAAGTGAATATTATTGGAGTTATATATTAGTAATTGGTTCTGACCTTAATATAGTTTTTATGTGTTTTCTGTTACATTTACATTTAATGCTCCAGGTCCGAGTGTGATGGAGGTCATGACTGCTCCCATATCGCCAATACTCCGGAGAACTTCCCCCTCCGCTGCAACAAATATATTAATCTTGGTCAGACATAAATATATACATTTATATGTTCTTCCTTATTAGAAGTTAGATTTTAACAAAATGTATTTGATTCCATGGCTACTTTATATAAAACTAACAGTCATTCAGTATTCTGTATATCCTTATTTTAATACTAAAAAATATTTTCCATAAATTGGCGGGAAAAAGATGACAGACTCCAAATTTAAAAAATAACAATAAATTTGGCCAGGGCAAGTATGTGTAATAATTTTCTAAAGTTATTCTGCACTATACTACTCACATATTTTCTTTTCATTTTCCTCAGCTGCGTGTAACATTAAGTTTTTAAAATAAACATAAATTGAATATTATACAATAAATATATTAATTAACTTTTTTAATGTTTTACATATATCTTTTAGGATGTACGTACATGTTTATAAATAACCTATGTATATACAGGGTGACTGGTGAATTACTATCGATACTTGAGGACGTGACATTTGACGATCATATATGACAAAATAAAAATTAATACAACATAAATATTAATAAACTTCTTAGTAAAGTTAACCAAAAGTTATGTAATTAATTACGCATCGTGTGAACACCCTACAGATTAGGTATACACACACACACACACGCGTGCAGCGGCGTGGTGTTGTATCAGCACGCCGCCGCACGCGTCCACACTTGGAACACTTGGAACGTGTCCACACTTTATTTATTTATACGGAAATTTGGTCAAAAATTAAGTACCTATTTTTTTTACATAATTCGAATGAGAATCATGTACCGAGTATTCTCCTTAAATATTGATAGTAATTCACCAGTCACCCTGTATATCTTGTTTAGTTTATATTTAATGTAACTCACATTCCACTTCTCCGGCGAGGGCGTTCGTTTCGTTCAGTAGATCGATCGCAGTCACACAGTCAAGAAGACAATAAGGTTTTGTCAGCCGAAGAAGATCGCTGAAGCTGTGTTAAATTAGAAAATTATGGACAAATTTATATTATTTGTTGAAAAATATACATTTATAGACAAATGAAGTGAACTAGAGAAATCATGGTATTATAATTCTTTAATATAATCATCTGCACAATATTAACAGCTCACAAACTATAGCCTCTCTTAATTGTGTTTTCACTAACATTATCTTGCTCTATATAAGCAAAGTAATAGTTTTTCGATATCAATACGTATTTTAACACATCGCTAGTATATTTTAGCGTCAGTACTATCGTCACGGAGACTAAAACATATATATGAAGTAGAAGTCAGTTTATTGAAAAAGAATATTTATATGAATTTGTTTAACTACAAATCAACATCTTACCTATAAAACCCAAAGTAAATTAATTCTCCAGCCAGTTTAACGACCTCAAAGGTCAACTTGTTCTGGTCGTGGTCGCTCAAGTACCACGTCCTAGTCACGTCTTTACACAAGTAGTCCTCAACGAAGTCTATGGTGGACTCGAACTGCTTCTTCACTTTTTTCCTGGTCGCGTCCTGACCGCCTTTCACGCATTGACAGCTGTGGCAGAATTAATTAATGATTAATGTAATGAAAATAATTGATATCATACATGTATTTATATTTTATGGTAGTGTCATTGTGTGTGCCTTGTATGTGTGTATGTATGAGTGTCTTTCTCAGTGGTGTTGTTGAGCTGGAACGCTCCAGAACATAATCCGGTACTTCCTTTTTGGACAGGAACGCGTTCCGGAATTAAAGATGGTTAAATTCTGACGATTCAGATGGTTGAATTAGCTAACTTATTAAAAAAAATTGCAGGTTTTTGTACACACATAATGGGTTTCGTAAGGATTTTCGTTTCCTTTCCTTTATATGGGGCCGATCCTGACCACGGACTCCTGACTCCTGTTCCTGACACGCGGGGTGTTTGCATGTGTGTGTTAATGTTGATGTGTGTGTGTGTGTACCGACTCGTTCACTCGTATGGTGGCGGCGACCTCTGCCCACAGCCTCGCGTACTTGACGGGTGTGACGGGCTCCTGAGGGTCGCGGTCCACGTGCAGGTGCAGCATGAGGCGGCAGAAGGACGCGCGGACCTCGTGGGATAACACCGGGTTGGACATGCATCTGGAGATCATGTTATAGTGGTTCATGATATCTGAGGCTTTAGAGAGTATTCATTTAAATGGTACTAATATTTTCGGATGTACTAAACGTATTTTATGTTATCTCGACGTTTCGGTAGAAATCTGAAAATATTAGTTATATTAGTTAGCATCGTGGACTATTAGCACATGGATCACAACGAGTGTGACTTTTTATTCTTCATTTTGCTATCTGAAATCTGAATAGGTAATAATTTTATTATTTTTTTCATTTGGTCATAATGCGATAATTGATTTGAAAGATATTTCTACATTTTAGAGATACTTCGTAGTTTTCGCTATGCTTACGACGTTTATGACAAAAACTATATTTTGTTTGGGTAAATCAGCTCTTTATCAGAATCGTGAATCAATAAAATATCGTATCAAAGTACACTTTTCGAGTGATTAAAAAGTCGTTATTATTTAATAAAATGTATTGTTACTTTAAAGTACTGACAAAGGAAACTAAAAATTACTATGGTATATATGTAGGGAACAAACATTCAATTTGAACCAAAGCTTTAAATTCCCGAACGCACCCAAAGTGACCTTAAGCAATGACATTTGGTTTGTTCAATTTTACGCGGGAAAATATTTCTCTATGCAATTTGTGTATTTATATATTGAACTTAACTTATTGAAGGTGTCTTGGTTTAAGATAATAGTTTTTTTTAATAATTAAGGTTATGTGATTTAGAAGTACTGGCTTCACAAAACAACTATAGTTTTTAATTATATTGTTAGAATCAAAAATATATAATTATATATACTTCTATAAAACACTTTTAATCTTTTCTTACTGAAAGGTACTTTATTGTCAAGATAGAACATAAAAAAGTATATTATGTATGCTGGTGTAGAGTTGTTTTTGTATTAGGTCGGATAAGTTTTTTTTTTATTTTTTTTTTATGGGAAAAGGGGGCAACTGAGCAGACGGCCTACCTGATGGTAGGTAGTTACCGTCGCCCATGGACATCCGCAACGTAGATTTGCGGATGTGTTGCCGCCCTTGATTGGGGAAAAGGAGGAGGAAAAGGTGGGAAAGGGAGGGAAAGGAAAGGTTGGGAAAAGGGAAAGGGCAACCGGCTCTCTCACTCACCGGACGAAACGCAGCCTTTAAAGACTACTTTACGCCGATTTTCTGTGAGAGGGTGGTACTTCCCCGGTCGAGCCAGCCCATGTTCGAGCTATAGTAAATTGACTACAGCTAGGCTCTACCACCTCAAAAAATATGTCCGCATGAACTAATATGATAAAGGCAAAAATTGACGATGTTAACGTTTAAGTCCTATCTTTAATAACACAAGGTAACATTTATTCTCCTCGCTCACAATAATACCATGTCTACACGAACCTGTTTATTGTTCCAGTACAGCATCACCTCCCCACCGTCTCCGTCGCTCGACTCATCTGGCACTAACCTGTGTAATGATTCCTTCATTATACTTCTATGGATATTATAATTATTTTAGTGCAAGACCCAATACTACATACATCTATATTCTATTAGTGAAAAGCGGTTACATTTTTTAACTCACATTTAATTTACAAAGATTAAATATGTAGTTGCTTGTTATATATTAATTGATTGATAGTATTGACATTTTAAACAATAACCTATCTCTATTAAAAAAAAAAAACAATTGGTTTGAATTAACAGACAATAATAATGATTAAATCTATTTTCTTATCCATTATTTAGTTACTCACTTCACCAGTTTATAATTTCATTTTATTTTTTATTGCTGTGACTTGTTCATACTTTTCTGTGTAAAATATTCTTTCTATTTATTGTAAATGTCTTTTCTTATATCTATACAATGTATTTTTAAGTGCTTATGTATTTTTGATTTTATAAGTGACATATAGTCTATAATCCGTGTTCACATAGTCGTTGGGTTATAACTCAGCTTATGTATAATGTTTATTTATCAATTAATAGTATCTTTAGTTATAATCTGTTTTGTGAACCGTAAATAAATTCAGTACCTGGTCTCTATGAGTATATCAGCATTGTTAACACACAACACACTCTTGCAGATGAGTTCCTGTGTGACAGTGATGGCCTTCTTGTTGGAGATGCACAGGTCACTGAGGTTGTCCAGGTCTTCATGTTCTTACGGACTATACCTGGAACGAGATACAGGAAGTGTGTATATATATATATATATATATATATATATATATATATATATATATATAGGTTTTCGAGAGTATTATTGAAAATAAACTCATTTTATTAGTTAGAAAACTATGAGAATCATTCTCATCTCGTCTGCCCGTTATCACGTTTTCAGTATACAGGGTGACTGGTCAATTACTATCAATATTTAAGGAGAATACTCGGTACATGATACTCATTCGAATTATGTAAAAAAAATTACTTAATTTTTGACCAAATTTCCGTACTTAATTTTTGACCAAATTTCCGTATAAATAAATAGTGTGGACACGTTCCAAGTGTTCCAAGTGTGGACGCGTGCGGCGGCGTGCTGATACAACACCACGCCGCCGCACGCGTATGTGTGTGTGTGTATACCTAATCTGCAGGGTGTTCATACGATGCGTAATTAATTACATAACTTTTGGTTAACTTTACTTAGAAGTTAATTAATATTTATGTTATACTAGTAAACCTGGCGAACTCCGTTTCGCCACCAGAAGGCTTTTATATAACATTTCGTTTGGTGATTACAAGATGAAGAATTTTTTGTTTTATATTTGAAAAGGAAAAATTTTATTTCATTTCACAACAGTAATGAATTCATTGCGATTACAAAAATGAAGTGTTATTTAGTTGAACTTCTCTGAGTAAATGAAAGTGAATCCAAAGTAGATACCGAATCGAAGCGTTATACGTGTCCACAAATTATCCGTTTCATTGAAGTGCTCCTTTGTAAACCACATTTTTTTGTTTTTTGGTCTAACTTTAACACAAATAAAGCGTACGGTTTCCAAATTCGTGAACACGCAAAATATAACTGCCCATGTGAAAAACAATGATTTTCTAAATTTATCCCGCAAATACTAAATGGTTTTAAGAGTTCAAACTACAAACACAATACCTAAATATTTTTATTTTTATATAGTAGATTTCTTACAAATATCTAATTGTCATCCATACGTCATTACATATCTGTCATTATACGTCAATTGCATAGCTGTCAATTGTGTTATTCCACGTTTTATAGTTGTATGGGTTCACCCATACATTAACATAATTTTATTGTACGTACACATTAATAAGCATATATAAATGTAAGCATTGTCATAATTTAGTCAGTATCAATAAAGCGTTCAAATAAACAGGTCGTCCTCATTACCTAAACGCGATACTCACAAACTTGCTGGTCTCCATAAACTATCATATCTAAATGGTGTGTGGTATCAACCCATACAATAGTGACTGACGTTTCATGTCAAGTCCCACAGGAATGCTGTCGAACGGGATAAAAAGTATCCTATTGCAATTTCCTGGTTTTAAACTACCTCCCTGCCAATTTTCAGCTAAATCGGTTCAGCCGTTCTTGGGTTATAAGTGAAGTCACTAACACGACTTTCTTTTATATATATAGATTAATTTTTATTTTGTCATATATGATCGTCAAATATCACGTCCTCAAATATCGATAGTAATTCACCAGTCACCCTGTATAACGATTATAATGAGATGTAAGACTTTCGCGAGTATTAATTTAAATTAAGTATTTAGTTATTGAGTATGTATGGTTAAAAATACTTTATTTCTCAAAAAGATATTACATTTCACTTACTCGAGAAAATTATGACTATAAACATATTTTAATTAAATTTCGACAATCATAGTAAATATATTACTAGGTACATAGTTTAATATATTCTTAGAATAAATTTTGCTTTAAACAATAAATTTAAAACATGCCCTCAAAGCAACAATAATTGTGTACAAAACAGCGATAAGAAATGTATGCTATTTTTACAATAATAAAACAAGCTCAGTATAATCCGAAAAATATAAGATTCATATACATACCGGTTAATGAACCCAGTGTAAACCAACGCCCACACAACTTTTTGTTCCTCAGGTTTTCCGTACCAATTGTTTTCGTCTATACCTTCCACCTTTAAAAGTATCGTTGAAACATCTTTAGAGTTATTTGTTTGTGCATAATTTCTATCATTTTCCATATCAATACCATTCGCTTGATTTATTTTTGGTGCATTCTCATTATTCCCTGCCTCATCTGTAACCTCTTGACTGGGTTTACTTTTATTCAAATCATCCAATACTTTTTCTGTATCATTTTCACTTTTATTTTTATCATTATTTTCATCCTTTTCGGCGTTTCCAATTTTATTAACTTGTAATTCTTGGGAATAAAAAGTTCTAGCAGCAACCATTAGTTTGTAAAGAAGAATCAGCGAACTGTGATTCCGTCCGGTCGAAAAGTTTGACTGTGACCAAAAAAAAAGGATATTCAAGTAAATATTTTCGATGTAATGTATATAAAAGTTGATGAAAACTCACCAAATGAATGAGTTGTAATTCATGCGAGCACAGAAGTATGAGGTCAGTGACCTTCCACTCTTCATGATTCAGCCTGAGTGTTCCCGGTACATCGTGGAGATGACTGCTCGAATTAAGCAGCGCTTTCAACTTTAGCAAGCACAAGTTGTAGATGCCTTGCATTCGAGCCTTTCAAAAAAAATACTAAAAATAATCCACCGATGATCTTTCGGGAAGAAATATTAAAATAGAATATATGGAATGGAAAATTCATTGAAAAGAGCACGTTAAGTATAGGTTTTATGCTACAAACATAGTTTTACAAAATTAACAGTATTACTGTCGTGATAGAACAATCTAGAACAAACTAATTAATCATTCATAATCTAGTGAGAGAATTTTTGGAAAAATATAACAATTTAAGCCAAAAAAATAATAAAAAATACTAGCTGCGCCCTGCGGTGTTACCCGCGGATTTCCGGGATGTAAAGTAGCCTATGTGTTATTCCTGGACGTCAGCTTCCTGGACGTCAGCTTCCTGTATACAAAATTTTATCAAAATCAGTTCAGCTGTTTGAGCGTGAAGAAGTGACAAACATACATACACTCACAAACTTTCGCAATTATAATACTAGTAGGATTACGTTTTTCCATCCATCAACATAGTGTTATGATTATATTATATTGCTTGTGCAATTATTTTAAGAACATGGAGTTGTGTAACTCACCATACTGGTACAACATCAGCTACACTCACTCCATATTTCTTTGCGAAGTATTTCACAGCACATGGTCCTATCAATCTAAATATCTTGCCGTAACTAACTTCGAGCGAGTGTTCCACACTGGTCAACAATTCCTGGATCAAGACTTCCGGTTCATGGCACTCAGTTACCGTTTTGTGTTGCTCATTCTGAAACAATATATATTGAAAAATGTTATTCGAATAACGATAAGTCGTGGTGGCGTAGAGATTAGTCTCTCGTTCATGATGCCGCGGGTTCGAAACCTGGCTAGTACCAATGTGATGTTCGATTAATATTGGGTACATGTTGAAGATTTTACAAATGTATTTATAAAAGTCAGAATTAATATTAATAGAAGGTGCATCTACCCTTAATTTATAATATTGGTTCAACAAAAAAGATATGAGGTTGAGTATTAATATTCATAAGAATTATTATAGTCCAAAATCCCTGGGCTGATATACCATATTTCTGACGGACAAAACATATATAATAACTCTATGGTATATATTAATATATCTTTTAGCTTATACTGTTGGTCAATTCTCAGGTATAGGTAAATAGAAATTGTACTCACTTAACTTATAGTATAAGGTCTATTTTAAAATATATTGTAAATAATATAAAATAAATACTATAACACAAATTCTGTTGGCAAAATTTAACCAGATAGTCTAAATATGTTTAAATGTACTGTAGAATAATACTTATAAAATATAAAAAAATATGCAGAGTATACTGTAAAGAACTATACATGAGGACTAATTGTTTATGAAAAACAGGACACTTTAGGTATGTAGTTTGAAAATACAAACTATTGGTTGTCTTAGTGTATTATAGTAATTATGGAGTGGCATATAGTGTGATAACCATTGAATAAAGAAGGAAAACTCGAAACCAAACCCTATGAAAACCCTCCAAAGGCCAAAAACCTCCTTATGGCACTACAAAACCGAAAATGGCCCCCAGTTCCCTTTAAGGTTGACTAAATGAATGAATATAGTGTGATAATATATGTTATATGTTACCTGTTTTATCTTCTCAAACATATCAGACTTCATCATCAAATACAGCAGCCATTTGGGCAACTGCTGTTTCGGACTTTCAGACACACTGGAACCTGACTGTGAAGAAAACATATAAATAACAAAATATCCCTACTAATATTATAAATGCGCAGGTAACTCTGTCTGTCTGTATGTTACGCTTTCACGCCTAAACCACTGAACTGATTTTATTGAAATTTGATACAGAGATGGAGTTGACCTTGAGAAAGAACATAGGATAGTTTTTATACCAGACTTTTGAAAGGTTCTCTTGTAAACGCGATATAAAGGAACTTCACCCGGACGAAACTGCCGGCGGAAAGCTAGTATATAAATCGTCATCAGCCTATCAGCGCCCACTGCTGACCAAAGGCCTCTTTTTCACATGGAGAAGGTTTGAGCATTAATCACCACACTTGCTCAAGACGGGTTGGTGATTTCAAACTTATAATTGTGAAACTATAAGTCCAGGTTTCCTCACGATGTTTTCCTTCTCCGTATGTCAGTGGTGTCTAAATACTCTCAGAATGTACATATGACTCCGATAAATCATATTGGTACTTGCTAAGTTTGAACCCGCGCCCTCGGCAACGAGAGGCGGACCCTTTAACCATTAGGCCACCACTGACTATATATAAATAAATTTACAAATACATATTTATGTTATCAAGGCAAATTACATATATAAAATAGGTAATGCATTAATAATAAATTTTTAGTCAAATCACAATATCTTTGTAAAATAAGCTACATTGCAATTCTTCATAAAAATGTATAAGGTTTTTAGAACAAGTCAAAAATTGTTAGTTTTATACTTAAATTTGAATCTACATGGATTTTTTATTTTAATTGCAATATGTGGTTAGATGGGAGTAAAGAGCGGTCTTCTTACAAAAGATGAGATCACAAATTGATCACTTTAAAAATACTCTTATGTGATCGAGTGATAAAATATAAGCTTAGATATATATATTATTATATTTTCCAATATCTGAATGTGTCAATTATTTCATAGTAAGCAAGATCACGGACGGAAAGTGTCTGTTAGTTACTATTTTACCGACAATTTTCTTTAAGTCTATAATAGTTCTATATCATCGTACATCACCGTACCACATTATATTTCTTCGTGAACGTCTTTTTCAACATGTCGAAGCAAACATTTGGGAAATCTTTTAACAGTTCAATGACCATGTCCACCATCAAGTTGAGTTTGTATGCAATACTCTTGTATGCTTTTTTCTTCGCAAACTGAAACAATGAAATGGAATACACTTTTTTTTTAAACGTAAATAAATTGCTTGTACGATCATTTAGAAAAAATGGCATCTTGTTAAATATAATTTGATTAAAATTTCAATTAAAAATTAAAATATTCATATTAAGACCAAAAATACATTGCTTCCTTCATCGTTTGTTTGAAGGTCTGTAATTTCGTTTTTCACAAGGAAATTGACTTTTTTTAACTTTATGATTATTTAAGAATCTATGCATAGAAATATTTTATCCTTCACCTTAAGTCGATTTGGGTCCATAAGTAAGTATGATTGCCAAAGCACTTCATGTTTCTTGAATTCTTTTCCGAAATCATCAATAAACTTAGTTGACATGAAATTCTTAAAATCATAATGTGCCATTATTATTGTTGAGTTAAACAGAACTGCAAGGTTTTGTTAAAAACGAACGATATTGTCAAAAGTAACATTTAATATCGACTAAAAAAAACACGGTGTAAATATTGTTAAATAATATCATTTTGAATTATCTTAGAAAATCCCTAATGTTGAAAAAGGAAACATTTGTTCAACAACCATCAAACTATTTTTATAAAGAAATCTTTATTTATTATACTATTTGCGCAGTAGCATGGTGCGGGTGACAGTTTCAGTAACGTTTCGTTTCACTCTTGAAAGTTGCCGCGATTTACAAATTATGACTTAGTATTTCAGCTGTACCACATTCGTAATAAATTAAATCATTCATTACTGAAGTAGTTTAAATTTAAAAAAACCAGAATGTTCTAGTGTATAAATATAATCTAATGGAAAGAAAAATTAAGCAAAGTATTATGCGTTTAACGTAATGCCATAGACGTATTTAGTGATGGGATGTACTGCTACAATGGATAGTCGATGTTTTTTTTTATAATAAAAAAATATACATATATTGGCTGTAGTTCAATTAATATTGTAAAAAGTCTATAATTATATTAATGAAACAACAGATCTTATATAAAAATCATTTTATTCGTCTAAACTCATATCAGAACATCTGAATTGTCACTAAATTCATCATCTGTTGAAATTGAGCAAAAATGTTGAAACGAAAAAAAATCATAAACCCGATTTTAATTATTTTATAAAAGTACTATATTATTTATACTGCGAGTATCGTTAGTGATAAAAATGAATTACGCAACATCACTAGTCATATGGTACTGACAGATATCAACGTCATACATGCAAATGTCACCCGCAGCAAGCTACAGCGCAAATAGTATAAGCTAACAATACAAGGATTAAATTATCATTAAGATTTTTAAGAAATATGGCAATAAATATTGTTAAAAATTAAATGTTGGAGCGAAGCGTCAACAATGACATAAGACATTAAGAACTCTGACATTTAATATGCAGAATAAAAAAAAGTTCTCAGATTTTGCACTGAATTCTAGCCTTTTATCAATGTTTATTTATAATTATATTTATGTTTATAATTTATATTTAAATTTTTTAATTCGATTTTTAGTTATATTCTACATTTTACATGATTTAAGGAGGTATTAACCTATTCTTAATAATAAATCCATGGAATGCTTGTGGCTGACACCTTTTTGATACTGGGAATAGCAAATTCTATTCCTGTCTACGCATTTTTCAGAATTTTGTAACGAAAATCATAACTGGGTTTGTATCAATTCGCGGTTTGTATTTAGTTTATTCAAATATATTTAGATATAAAATGAAAACGATAAAAACATATTTCTGATTATTCTCAGTGCAGAATTTTTAATAATTGTAAAATTCATCTAATGTTATGTTTTAAGGCCGAAAATCGCTTCAAACTACTAGGATTCGATAAAAAATTTAAATATCCACTATTTGTTATTTCTAGACAATATAAGTTTCGAAGTGTAAACATTAAGATATACCTAACTTGTAAACTGAAACGCTGGCTACATCTACATCTTTGTAAACTATATTATATCTTAAAAGAAAGGTATCCTAGACATAGATGGTAGAAATTAAAGCAGGCTGGAAAAAACTACAATCATATGTTAAAAAGGTAGCAGGAAAACTTGCTTGAAGCAAAAGATAAGAGAATAATAAACATGGCAGCTTCTGGGGAGGATTGTGTCTTAAAAGAGAAAGATAAAACAAAGACAAGAGAAACAAAAACACAATGATTTTCATTATAAAGTATGTACTTATAAGAGGAAAGTCGATTTTGAGTCAAATATAGAGTTCTGGAACAGTTCTTCACTATAAATATGATTCGGATTTGTAACCAGACATTACAGAAACAAAGAATTGGCGATACTAAAAATGAAAGTAACTGATAAAATTAAAATTATTAGCTGTTTATCTTTTTATGTATTAAATAAATAATATGACTGAATAATATGAATTGAACATATGAACAGTGGTGGCCTAGTTTTTAACGGCCCGCCTCTCATGCATGAGGGCGTAGTTTCGATCCTGGCAAGTACCAATGTGATTTTTCCGAGTCATATGTACTTTCTAAGAGTATTTAGACACCACTGATTGATGAAGGAAAACATCGTGAGGAAACCTGGACTTATAATTTCACAATTATAAGTTTGAAATCGCCAACCCGTCTTGAGCAAGCGTGGTGATTAATGCTCAAACCTTCTCCGTGTGAGGAGAGGCCTTTGCTCAGCAGTGGGCTCTGATAGGCTGATGACGAATATGAATTCATAGAGTATAAATAATATGCACTTTGTTTTCTTTTTGTCTGTTCGTTCCGGCTAATCTCTAGGATGACAGGTCTGATTTTGCAGGAATTTCTGTCGTAAATAATAGACAGGCCACACGCTTTAACTTAGGTTACTTTTAAACCAATTTCAAAAAGGAGGAACCTTTTAATTTCATTTTGTTGGACTAATTTCTGATTCAACAAAGACCGACTTTTAATCGAAAAACATGTCGAGAGAAGTCATTACCAAGTCAAGATCTCATGAAGAATTTCACGAATAACCAAATGAAACCCCACACGGATTATTACGTGTATTTCAACGTTCAAGGGAAGTTTACGGTGCGGGAAATGCCCCAGGCAACAGTTAGTATGTCAATGAATATAAAACTAAGTTAAAACAAAAATTTTAATTTAAGTAATCTGTAGTATGTATGTAGTCAAATCAGTAGCAGACCCTGACTAAAGCTGAGAAATTGCCAGGAAGAAGAAGAAGTAGTTAATTCAGTATACTTAATTCAACCTTCTATTTTAATGCAAAATGTTAATAAGATCTTAGGAAATATTTACTACAAAAGTATAATGCGTTGGAAAGTTTCTGTTACTATTAATACAGAATACGATAATAATACGAAACGGCCAAATAATATTGTACATCATAATTCAGAATACAAATATCGAATATAACAAATGGATATTGGTAATGTGACAAATAACCTATTGAAGCATCTGAATGCAATCAACGGAACACACAGTGAATTTGTTAAATACTTATTATTATTATTTTTTATGTTAAAGGCGGCAATCGAGCAGACGGCCTACTTGTTGGAGGTAGTACCGTCGCCCATGGACATCTGCAACATTTCTTATGTAGCGGATGAGTCGCAACCCTTGATTAGGGGTGAGTGGGAGGAAAAGGTAGGAAAGGGAGGGAAAATTGGAGGGGTAGGAAAGGATGGGAAAAAGGAACGAGCAATCGGTTCTCTCACTCACCGGACCAAACGCAGTCATTAAAGGCTACTTCACGCCGATCTTCTGTGAGAGAAGTTTACTTCACCGATCGAGCTAGCACATGTTCGAGCTAGGCTCTACCACTTCAACAATACTACATGTTGTTAGTTTTAAATTATCCTTCTCCGTGCAAACTAGTGGAAAGTATATTCAGTCAGTATCGTGTAGAATGGAGGAGACACGATCCGGGATTTACTTAGAAATACAATAAAATATAACAGTTTCGACTGAAGTACTTTTAGAATCTTATATTTCTAATTACACACCCTATACTCAATAGATGTTGTGTTATGTTAAAGCTATCACTCCTCCAAAGATCTTGAAGATGGTTGCAACACTGATCATGTATTTCTATAATAAACTCCTTGATCCAACCAACACTACCAATGAACATTATCTTTTTTTTTTTTTTTTTACGAGGGGAATCTTTTAAAGACTTCCTGCCGCGGGGGAAACGCGACAGGGGCATGTGGGATTTCCACCCACTAAACCACCTCGACGTTCTCTGCGCTGTGCGTAGACTAGTGAGCGGGAACGGCAAGCCATACTTCCGCTCACTACGCACGAGTCCCGAAAGGGACTCCGCCATCGGCAGGGGTATCAGTGGCTGACCACACCACCCCTCCGACTCAAGAGCAGCGTGCCGGGAACGCCAAACACGCCGCTCTTCCTCTAGCCTATGTTACCCGGACGCCGGTTCCCCACCGACGCCCGGAGGCTTCCTCACTGGGGAGGCAGGTCGCGAGCATAAGCCCGCTGCCTTCGACCCAGCCTTCGTCGGCGCAGCGGCGCCGAGGAGGGGTCGTCTTCCCTCACTCGTTCAGCAGCCTCCTTCTGCAAGATGACTCTCTCGCTGAAGTCGGCCACCGCCTGCCATGCCCTCTCGCTGCCGACCATGGCCTGGACCACTGCCGGCAACGAAAGGTCTGCGCCAACCACGCGGATGAGTTGGCTACGCTCGGATATACCAATGAACATTATCTAATATAACCTTACCAAATCTGGTTACCGAGCTTTGCTCGGTATTTAGTATTATATATTTTGTTACTATATATTTCGTTTTTTTTTTTATTTCGTTTAGGCATTTTAAGTGAACACGTTAAGAAGACGCAAAACAATATAAATCAACAATTAATTTCTTAGTCAACTACAAAACAAACACTCATTGACTTCCTGGTACTTAACAACGCCCTCTGCTGTTGTGCCCTTAAAGCAATTAGATTAATTAACAAGTAGTATTACTATTTATCGATAGATGTCAGAAAGAGTCATATTTTAAACGCAGGAGGCGTATTTTTTTTTTTTCATAAAATTACATTTTCTAAAAATGATTCCTGGCTAGATCGATTCTGACCAGGAGAGTCCTTGTAACTTTAATAAAATGTACATTAGACGGGGACTTCTGTGGCTAGACTTAAGTTTAACTACAGCAGTTAACAGCCGATATTATATAATATATTTGAATCAATATAATAACTATTATTTTATGTTTTGTTATATACTCGTAATGTTTTTATGTTACTAGGTCCATGTTCCAGTAGATCTAAAACCTCAGAAGCGTCAGCATTTATACTTCTTCGTATTAACGATGAAAAGATAAAATCGATAAAAATTCATTTAGAATTATTATGAAGGAACTAAAATACTTTAATATTATTAAAGAACTGCATCTGTAAGGTTTCCTCGCATCAAT